GGTTCGTCTTCATTGTTAGACACTTTGTATACGAAAATTTTAACATTAAAATCGGTCAATCAGTCGGTGTTTTGTTTTTCAATACTTAACTTGTTTATCATCGTGATTAAATATTGTGTGTGGTAATAAATGAATGTCGTAGCTTATACGCAATGTTACAGAAAGGCGTGGTCGTAAAAAATTGAAAATCCATAATATTGCTCTGTATATCACAATAAAATAAAAATTTCACTTATACGAGTGAAGGCATTTTCCAAAGATTATACTTTCGTCTATTTTATTTATTAAATTAATTATTCTTAGAGAGACTAAGACACATATAACAATGTTGTATAATTACAATTAAATAGTCTTATTGGTAATTATAAGTCTCTGCATATAGGTACTTTGAGGAAAACTGTTGACTTAAATTGAAGAGAAGTGTAAGCCTAAGTAGGGATACACATACTCGTAAGACATAAATAATATACACATAGATGTATCCGCACATCCGCACATATATATATATATATATATATATATATGCTCACACATTTGAGTACATAAACATATGCACATACAACACATACATAAATACTAATACACAATAAAATGTCGAAACACTGATAAGTTAAAAACAAAAGAATAAAGGCAAAAATAAAAGCTAAATTAACAATTATCTAGTCGGCAAAAAATATCGCTTCAAAAAATTTGACCCTACCTTTCTGAATTACTAAATATTCTTATGTGATTATGTTGCCATATGATTTCTTTATGATAACTTTTCTATTTATGATAAAAATCTATCTATGTCTTAAATGGACACTGCCATTATAAAATGTGATTAATTACAACTAAGGTAAGTTAACAAATTAAGTAACAATTACTTTTGTTTTTGATAGCATTCATATTTTTTTTATTGCCTGTTTTACAATGTAATAAGTGGACTTTCAGTAAATTGACCAGTACGAGAAATTCACTTTTTTGAGTTTTTTAGTTAAGAGACGTTATTTCAAGTATGGACCTTAAAATAATAAAGTAATTTAAAAAAAGAAGACCTTTGATTACTTCTGCTCACAGCTTCAATTTATAAAAGACGATAAAGGAAAAGCGAACCGACTTTATTCATAGTTCAACAAGTTAGTACACAAATGAATAGATCATTAAATGTTATAGTTAAAATATTTTTAAAGAAACATACCTTATTTTTCCCCCAAGTTCTGACGACATTGACCCGAGCGCGTTTACGAAAACACTGAGAATGTACTTTGACATCTTCGTTTAAGAGCTTATTCTACTCCATAAATAGATATATCCCTATCTTATTTTATGAGCACCAATAAAAATGGTAATTTTATCGCCTTTTCACAGTTAACACAATGTTGTTTTCAGCTGAATGTAACTGCCGGAAAACTTTGTGTTCGGTTCCCACAAACCAAACAATTTTATAGTATACAGGTGAATTTAAACCTGACCAATCCCATCTGTATCTTTTACGGTATGCTAGTTGCTGTCAGTTTGCGACAGAAATCGGGCAGAATGGGTAGGTACAGCAATGTTTGGTTGGTGTTTGTATGTTTTGTGTTACTTTAAACTTGACCTGAGCACGTGGTTAACAACATTTCGCTTTATAAAACGAAAAAACGACTTAATTGACGAAGAAAGCGCTGATGGCGCCGCTCCGTAATGAATTCGAAGTATTGGGTGCTACACGGGTGTTGCGGCACCGCAATAAACCGCTGTTTGGGAGATACGAGTATCAGATAGTCCATATCTATATTATCGTCCTCGTTAGTACTCAATTTACAGCTCTCGATTGATATAAAATTATGGGAAAATACACGATGCGAGCAAGCTCCTACATTTCAAAACATATGCGGTCTGCGGTGTCAGAGTCGCAGCGGTGCCGCTCGTCTTGGAACGGAGTGCGTGCGTGCGGCGCGGCACATTTGCATGTATTACGCCACAGCGGCACCGCTCAGGCACCGCGACGGGGCCGCACCGCATCGCGTGGCGTCTCCGTAATGCGATTCGCACACTGCAATTCTTTTATGTTGCTTGAAAATATCTCTCTTTGCATTGAAAACACGCATAGTGCAACACACAGAAATTGCTCAAACGTGCAAAATCTGCACTCCCGCAAACACGCGCGAAGCTCCGTCGCCACGCACCCCGCAATGTAAAACGGGGCAGTGTGTGAATCGCCAGAAAGCCAAAAAGCCAAAGCCATTTCACGATGAAATGGAGGACTGTGTGAAAGAGGATGTGAATATAAAAGGAGTAAACAGTGGTCTGTCGAGTGACAGAGGAAGAATGGAAGAAGAAATCTCATTGCACCGACTAAATAAATAAACTTGGGTAAAGGGTAAGAAGATGATGATGTTTAAATTTTAATTTTAAAAATATATTTGTTTTTGGTCTAGCAATAAATAACTGTGTGCCGACTGATTCCCGGAGTCCAGGTTTAGCCTATTTAGGTCGTACCCGTTATAACCTTAAACTAACTTAACCAGACTTAACTTTTTATATAAATCTGCAAAAGCCGTAACAGTTAAAAGCCTTAAACGTTTAGTGGAGTCACAGCCTCAAATGAAATATTATGTAAATATCTTCTCATTGTTTAATTAAATTACATAACATGTTATGGCACATTATGCTAACGAACAGTTTCGATAACTTATTGTTAAGTTTGGATGGCCCCAGTCCGTAACTCGTCCCAAAAAACTAGTTATCAGAAAATTTACTCACAAATGCCTTTTGCCATTAGATCTAATCTAGGCTCTCCAAACGCACTGTCTCATAGCCCACACGTCCTCAGGCCACTAGGTTCCTCTGACTTACCTTACAAAGCTACTTTTATAATAATGAAAATAAGATAATATTTATCGATATCTTTATCGATTTTTGTGCACACCTGCAACATGACGTACTTAATGACGAATCGAGAGCCAATTTTACACAAGACTTATTGAGGTACCTATTTAATGCTAACTTAGCCAGAAATCAGATTTTTTTGATCAGTCATTTACAAACAAGTAAGTGTTATCAGTGACAACATCAGCTTATCTAATGAGCCAGTGAAAGCTTAATATATTGTGGATAATACCTTATTAATGATAATTTATGAGGGAGATTATTATTGTTAAAAATAATTGACGAAAACGGATGCTTAACTACTAAGGACTGATAACACAAAAGTTTTTAAAGCTGATTAACAAAAATAACTATAATAGCTTTGTTATAATCAAACAGGTCGATTTTACACGGCTTAAACAAAGACTTGAAGCAGCAATTGAAATTTTTACTGGTCACTAATATTTACAATAAACTAACATAAGGTTCCTAAAGGCGCTTTCGCCTTTAATCCATAGCATGAAAATAATCTAGTCACTTATAAATGATCTTTACAATTGGAACAGATAATATAATTGATCATACATATAGTCAGGGTGTCAAAGGTTTTCATTTCGATGGTTGGTAGAATTTACTGAAATCTGGCGGCAAGTAAAGGCCATTGTTTACATAATGACCCATTAAAAAGTTAGAATGGACGATGTCGGGAATATACTTTTTTATAGCCAATAACTTTGAAGTTTTGTCCGTGATTATTTCCAATGCAATCGGAGCTAGAGACGTTGCTGCAAGCTGGGCCCTGTTTTATACAGCTGACAATCCGACATATGTCAAAAAGTCACAATTCAACAAGTTTTCTGTTTAATAAAACTTACAGGCGACAAAATTATCATGGTGGAAAATTGACGAACATATAGAAATGTCGCGATGTCGCGTTTTTTTGTTTAAATACTTTTTGAGGACAGATGACAATTGGTCATGAAAAAATTCTCAAATCTGCTTTATTAAATAGACAATTGTCATGACATGTTGACATATTTGTAGAATTGTCCTACAATTCTGACAGGAACGTTAATCTCTGTCTCGAAATCATGTTTTGAAGTTTAAAGGTGTTAGAAAGAATTTATAAAAGTTTTATAAAAAAATGGTACTTACTTCAAGCAGTGACAGTAGTTATGATGAATACTTGGAACAAATATAAACGAGGAGGCAACGAGATCATTTACTAGCAGAATCAATTTCTCCTTCTCAACCACAGATTTCTACTTTAAAGAAAAATTTCGGTTATGTAAAACCAATTTTCCAATGTAGTGTCACGAAGATACTCAACTACTTGAAAAGTCGTTATTAAAAATAATTGTTTGGCTATTTCCTTCCATTTTTAGGGTTCCGTACCTAAAAAGGTAAAAAAGGAACAATATAAGATCACTTTTTTTGTCCGTCTGTCCGTATGTCACCACTGATTTTCTCAGGAACGGGTAGACCTAGCAAGTTGAAATTTATACCAGATATTGAGTTCTATGGTCCTATTAGGTGTATAGAAATCAAGGTTCTGAGTCAACACGATAAAAAGATATAAGCAAATTTTGATATTCGCGAAAACTTTTAAGTACCAAAATTATAAAAAAAAAAGATAAATTTTGGTACTTACAAATTTTCGCGAAAATGTACGTAAAATCTGGGTAGGCGCACAAGTTCGACTTGTACCTGACCGGTTTTATTTTTATTTTTATATCGTTAGTCACTAAACTTCCCAAAGACTATATTTCTATTTTCCTAAATAAGGCCCAAAATGGTAAGTTTGTTATACCGCGCACTATACCGATTTTTAACTAAAGAATCGCAAGTGTAGGCCAGGAGCAGACATAAATTTTTGAACAAATTTTAGAAACATTAAAATTTGTTAGAATAATCCCTAATCACCTGCCACCAGCTAGAATTATCAACTGTTTGGTTTAGTAGAGTTACGGCCATGACATCGCGTAATTCTGACCGTGCAATCTACTGGCAGTCGGTGATAGTTTCAAATCTAACGCAGCAAGCACGATTAAATAAGGCACAAGAAAGATAAAATTGAATACTTTTGATGAACGTTTTTAATTGAATAAAAAATATTTATATTAATATCTTACAGTTGTATACATAAATTACATTTTACGTCATGGTTATCAGCTCTCTGCTGTGGAAGGATCTGTCTTTGTCGCGTGGTCCGGGGGTAGCAGCAAACTAAGAGCAGCGCATACTGTAAAAAAAACATTTTCATTAAAAAACTTTTACGTAACAGTTAGCATTCAGAAGAAGTTTTTTAGCATTCATAGTTTTGTTTGCCATGACACAATTCTAGGTATAAATTTAATTCTAACTCTAAAACTTAGTTGTTGAAATGCTCAGAATTCATAGGTTTCGATATAATTTTATACAATGGGCACTTAGTGTTAACTAGAATGTATGACAACACATTATCGTTACTCATAATATCAAAACAATCAATAAACTAATTATAACACCTGTAAAGATCAAAGAAAATTCAAATGAATTTAGTATCAACCAATGTGGGAAGCGCGAGTGTCAGTCGTGCCATGGACGCAGCCCGTAAATTTGAAAAGCGAATTATGCACAAATGCGTTTTATTCATTTAATATATATTTCTACAAACTGATTACAATTTAAAATAGTATAGAAAGTTTGTCGATAAACAAGAGACTATCCTATGTTATATTCGATTTCGTACTGTGACATTACCAAACGTTCAGGTTTTCATAGTGCCGGCGCTGACTGACGTCGTGGCATGGCATGGCACGGCAGGCCCGAAGGACGTTTTGGTATGCCGCGTCACGTCATGGCATCCCGCAGAAAGCGACGCTACTTCGGCAGCCGAAAGGACGCTTTGATATGACGCGGCATGTTGAAGCATGGCATCCCGCAGAAAGCCAAATCACTCAACTCAGCCACCGTACCCGTTTTAAATCTTATTTCAATTAGTTTAGCTCTCATAATCCTGTGACCTGTGGCTCGTGGGACGCGGTGGTACACCGCGGCAATCCGTGGAATGAAACGGCATGAAAAGTCATGCCGTAACCTCCCGCGGCATGATATAAATAAATTCGAAATAAATGAATTCTAAACTTATTGAATCAAGGTTAAAAAGAACTTGATCTGAAATTAACTATTTTACAGGGTCGTGCCGTGCCGCGACGTCAGCCAGCACCGAGCCCATAAAGTCCCGAGTCGTTCTGTAGTCGCACCGGTGTGCAACGCCACTTTCGAGCCATAGGCGTTTCCGCTTCGCTTAAGCGTATTGTGTCATTTACGGACGGTTTGTCCAAAGTTTGTAGATTAAACCGAGATAGATTGTAGATAAAGTGTTTTTTCTACATTCCTACTTATCATTTACATTTGTAGGTATATGTTTTATTGTCTATAAATGATGTCAATATTACTTATTTATATATGACTGTTTTATCAAAACCTTTGTCCTCCTTTAACTGCATGCTTGTAACATTGGGGCACTGCGATAACTAGTGTCTGTACCAATAATTAAATAAAGTGACATAGTAACATGACACTTATCTTAAAATGCATCTTATTCGTAAAAATTGATAGAATTAACGCTGCCTCTAAGTTTTAACACAGTTTATAAAACTTCCCAAAAATAATCATCTTATCATTATTAATTTACACAATATGGCGCGATAAAACAATGTACATAAAATATTGTATACATGCTTAAGAAACACGTGCGTACGATAACTTTTACAACATTGTTGTGTATCTAATTTAACGTTGTAACAGATAGTTAAATGATGAGCAAAACCCACGGGAGGCACTATCTAACAGTACAATAAATCAAATTAAAATTAAACCAGAATATGAGTGTTGCTACTCTATCCAATTTAAAACAAAACAAATTTTGCTGATTTCATGTTATGCAAAATCTGTTGAGCCGTAACTGTTAAACAATACCAAGCACAGTACTTCATTCAGAGTTCTGCAAACCAGATGAAGTAAACCAGATAAAATAAATGAACTGCCAAAATCAGTTGTTGTTTTATGAAAATCAAGTACCTATCAGATTTATCGCCACTTCTGATGAATGCTGTTATAAGATACAAGAGAATTTGACTTTGATTTCGGTAGTACAATTTTATTTTATAAATTCTGGCAATAAAAACGAAGAATACAAAAACAAAATACCAATATTAGACCGCTGATAGAAACAAGATATAATTATCATATTGTTGTTTTGATATTAGTTAAATATTAATTAGGTCACTATTTCCATTTTAACTGATAAAGTCCATAACCGTAAATAAAGTATTTTAGATACTAATCAAATGATAAAGGTAGTATGTATTATTTGTTCGGTCATATGTTCATTACGGGGAAAAAGTCGAAAAAAAATTAAAATATAAATATTAAATATTGTAAGGGCAGATATTAATTCTGTAAAACTATGTTGGATACTGGATGGTAAGCTTCACTACAAACACTATCTAACTCACACCCTTTAGGACTGTATGTTCATCGGTACAACATTATTATAGCGACTGAAGCAAATGAAAAATTTATCGAATCATCGATGAAATCAGAAAACCATAAGTGATTAGCAATTGGAATATTACTCAACCTTAGTTTGTAAATAATATTATGTTCAATTATTAAATACCTAATATTGTTTACAAACTATTTCAATAAAACAATTCCACCCACCATCCACAGCATTTACTAGTCCACTTCAGGACATAGGCCTCTCCTTAGAGAGGAGGTTTTGGCCTACTTTACCACGCTGGCCAGACGGGTTGGTGTAGGGTTTCTCTGAAGCTGGCCATTAGCCGCGCCAAAGAAGAAAAAAGACAGGAGATGCTGGAGGGTCTTAATCGTGACCCCTGGGGTCGCCCTTACCGCGCGGTGCGACAAAAGCTCCGCGCGTCGGGCCCCCCCCCTTACGGAGACTCTCCAGCCCAGCTTCCTGCGAGAAGTGGTTGAGGGCCTTTTCCCGCAACGAGCGGAACACACTCCCCCGGCGATGGCCTCCTTGGCCGGAGACGACGGGGAGCACGGGGAGGAAAATGTTCCGCCCGTCCGGGATTCGGAGGTAGGGGCGGCTGTTCTACGGATCCGTTCCAAGAACACCGCCCCTGGGCCAGACGGGGTACCGGCCCGAGTGCTGGCCCTGGCCCTCAACCACTTGGCAGACCGCCTCGGGGAGGTGTTCGACGCTAGCTTGGCGTCGGGACGCTTCCCTGAGTGCTGGAAGAGCGGGAAGCTGGTCCTATTGAGGAAGCCGGGACGGCCTGCCGATTCGGTCGCGGCCTATAGGCCCATCGTGCTGCTGGACGAGGCGGGCAAATTGTTTGAGAGGGTTCTTTCTGCCCGCATCGTCCGGCACCTCTGCGAGGTGGGCCCCGATCTGTCGGACGCCCAATTTGGTTTTCGGGCGGGGCGTTCGACAGTCGACGCCGTGTTGCGCCTGAGGGCCGTGACCGAAGAGGCCGTGAGCTGTGGCGGCGTGCTGTTGGCGGTGTCATTGGACATCGCCAACGCATTCAATAGTCTGCCATTCAGCTGCATCAGGGAAGCACTCCACTATCATGGGGTGCCAAAGTACCTGAGGCGGCTGGTGGCAGACTATTTAGAGGAGCGTACCGTCTTGTACGAGGACCGAGAAGGTAATTTGAGGAGTCGGCCCATGTCGTGCGGTGTTCCACAGGGGTCTGTTCTTGGACCCCTCTTGTGGAACATAGGGTACGACTGGGCCCTTCGCGCCGATTTCCCCCCCGGGCTGGGTGTAATCTGTTACGCAGACGATACCCTCGTGTCAGCCCGGGGGGCAAACTTCCAAGAGGCGGCGCGCCTGGCCACAGGGGGAGTCTCCCTGGTGGTCGGGCGCATTGAGGCGCTGGGCTTACGGGTGGCCCTAGATAAGACGGAGGCCCTGTTATTTCATGGGCCCCGTCGTGGTCCACCCCCTGGCGCCTCAATCGTGGTCAACTCGGTCCTCGTACCGGTTCGGGCCCAGATGAAATATCTGGGCCTGATCCTCGACGGGAGGTGGCTCTTCGACGAGCACTTCCGACAGCTTGCTCCAAAGCTGGTCGGCGCTGCGTCTGCCCTAGGGCGACTTTTGCCCAATATGGGTGGACCCAGCGTCGCGACAAGACGGCTGTACACGGGGGTTGTCCGGTCAATGGCGCTGTACGGTGCACCGGTGTGGGCGGCGGCTCTGACCGCCCAGAATAGGGTACGCCTCTGGCGCCCTCACAGGGTAATGGCGGTCAGAGCCATACGCGGTTACCGCACCGTTTCTACGGAGGTGGCATGCGCGTTGGCCGGAACTCCCCCGTGGGATTTGGAGGCGGAAGTGCTCGCCGAAGTTTATCGGCGAGTGGCTGACTCCCGGGCGGAGAGCGGATTTCGCCCTCCGCCCGAGGATGTGCGCGAGTGGCGCGAAGCCGCTCGCCGAGCCACGATGGCTCGTTGGTCGTTCCGGCTGGAGACTCCACGCGCTGGCTTCGCCGCCGTGGAGGCTCTCCAGCCGGTCATCGCCGAGTGGGCAGGGCGGCAGCACGGGACCCTTTCCTTCCGACTGACGCAGGTGCTTTCCGGGCACGGTTGCTTCGGAAAGTACCTGCACACGGTCGCTAGGAGGGAACTGAGTCCCGCCTGCCACCACTGCGACTGCAGTGAGGACTCGGCCCAGCACACGCTGGCGGTCTGCCCCGCATGGGCGGCGCAGCGCCGGGCCCTCACTGCAGTCATCGGAGTGGATCTCTCGCTACCGGCCGTAGTACGCTCCATGGCCGGTAGCGACAGTTGTTTTACCGCGGTCGCAACCTTCTGCGAGGTAGTAATCTCGCGGAAGGAGGCGGCGGAGAGGGCCCGGGAGGACGACCTCCACCCGGACCCGATCCGCCGCCGGCGAACCGGGCGGCGGAGGCCCGCCTACCACAGCCTCATGCCGCCCTGAGTGTGGCCGCGGGTGGACGGGGTGGGTTTCCCCTCCACCCGCATTAGTTTGGCCAGCCGCGAGGGGGCGGCGTCCGCGTGTGCCGGACGTCGCCTAATAAGAGAGGAAAATATCGAGACGGAGCCCGCACCAGGAGCGGGCTGGCGCTAGGAGGGGTCCGGATGTCTTAACAACAGCTGTTCCCGGATCCCTCCTGTTACAGGCGCAGAGTGGCACACCGTGTGGTTTTAGTCGGTCCGAGTCCGACACACCACCCCGCCGCAAACCCCGGAGGGATGACGGTCCGAGGGGATTTCCACACGTTAAAAAAAAAAAAAAAAAAAAGGGTTTGTTTCAAATTTTCCTTCTCTTTCCAGTGCTGTTGTACTGCGTTGTTTGCTCCCGTAGTCGGATCTTACGACACCCACGGGATGAATAGGGGTGGTGACACTCTGTATTCTTAATCCGTCACCACACGGAGTTATTTACACCACAATTAGTTATTCGTAATTATGAGTCGAGTAGTCGAGTCGAATGATATTTATAATTCTACTACAATTGTACAGTTTTTATCTTTAGAAAGGATAACGACGAGGAAATGAAACTACATTATATTGTTCCTTAGTGAATGCCCACCATTAGAAATATTACCTACTGTATTGTGACGATGTATTAAGTACTGACTATTATAAACATTAATTAAATCATGTACATAAGAATGGCTGTTTTTAAGTAAAAATCAGGGCAAACAAGTAGACCGGTCACCTGATGGTAAGTAACTACCGCCGTCATGAACACCTACAAGAGTCACAAGTGAGTTGCCGCCCTTTGAGTTTCTCTTTCTTTTTTTTTCTGTGCGGAAATCTCCTCGCGTACCACCCACCGGTGGATATGTCGGACTCGAACTGAACAAAAACCGCACGCCGTCTCGGGTACCAATAGCCGGGGAACCAGGTGCACCCTAGAAAGGAAATCCCTGGTACCCTGACGTACCTCGGGCCATCTACGGCGGGTAGACGACCCCCTCCTGTGTATAACCCAGTGTTCAATTTGTGCTCCCGCAGCGCGTCTCGCCGCCACCCTGGCTTGCTTATGCTAAGGTGACAGATGGATTCACCTGTCACCCTACGAATTTCTCTCCCTAGAGTCAGGGGTAGAGGGGGTTTGAGCCCTGGTAACCTCACTCACTCGTTAAGAGGGAACGAAGAAACTGCTTAACACTGGTTTTCTTCCGAAACATGGCTCTCTTACGATGGATATTAACATATAGTAATTATTTGTGTATACATATAGGATACAGGTTGACTAAAAGAAAATGCCTTCAGTCCGCCTTTTGCAATGTATTTGCAGGAAGTATTAAATAAATCAATAAATGTATATCTACTACATGCCCAGACATGTTCTAGATGAATATTTATGTCAATATGTTTGTTTTGGTAATTGCGGTTTTTGAACTACAACAATTAATCGATTTAGAAAAGTTCAATAACTTTTTCAACTTGTTTACATCTTACAAGACATTTTGTTTTGATAGCGATGTGCATTTATTGAAAAACTAGCCGGCGAACGTTGTACCGCCAATAAAAGTTGTCTGAACTTATCTATATAAATAAAACAAATTCGGATAAGTTAGTTATTTATGATCCACAAATTGTTGTTCTGAGTCTGGGTGTACTTTGTGTCCGTTTCATGTATGTTTGTAAAGTCCCCCTCGACACAGGATTTATTCCTAGTGCGGGAGTAGTCTTTAATAAAAAAAAAAACAAAAAAAAAAATTCTGCTATTGGAGGTGAAGTTTAAATACAACACAGTTACAATTAAATTGATCAATTTAGATTTTAGATAAACAATATTTTTTGTCTTTTTGTGGTGAGAAAATTTATAAGGATGATGGTTTGCCGACGCGCGAACACGCCTCCTTTCTAAGGAGAGGCCTATGGACAGCAGTGGACTATTTAAGGCTGTGTTGTTGTGATAATGTGAACACGCTACGTATAACTGTCCATGACAGTAACAAGGAAACTCCAAGTAGAATCCACAAACTTCCAACGACTGCCCTTGCTATTTATTTATGCTCATCGCTTAGCAAACGCACGTTAAATTGTAGACGCTTAAAATCAAAAGGTAAATCCGTTTGAATCATTGGAATACGCGGGATCAAGAAACCCTCTCTTTTGTACTTTCCCTTGATGATTGTTGCCTCTATGACGTTATTCATGAATATATCTGTTATGAATTGTGTTTATCTTGTTTATTATTGGTTTTATGTTTAAATATCTTGTACGAAAAACTAACTAGATATCGGAGCGCCAGAGTGGAGAAAACGATTTGCTGATTTGCTACTCATTACTTTGTTTTTGCTCTAGCGGGTTATACATTTTTACAGTAATTACCGGTAGGTGATTGTAAATTCTATTCTGTTACTTGTGTAAAACGCTTAAGATAGTTAGATTTATGGTGGGTATTTTTATTATTAGTATTGTATGCACAAATGTTTCTTATGAACATAATTTAAGAACGTATGAATGTATGTACCATATTCAAAGAAACCCGAGTCTAACGTTACACTACACTGTCATTGCCGGATACTGGATAGTAAATAATTAAACAAATTTTACATTTTTCTAAAAAAAACGTTAATATAGTGATATGAAATTACAAGATTATTTAGACACGCCATTTAGAATTTATTATGCGCAAGGACTATCCTTGCTTCTTTCTACTATTTGATGCATGTTTTTTTTTTACATTTTTTCAATTAATTATTGTTATTTAATCTAAGTTTATCATGAGTCCAGAATAGACTTTAATGTAAAATAAGGTTCCTCCCTTAATCCAAAAGTAATGGTAGTAACATCGTTTAGTCTACAAGAAAGAAGTCAGGGTTAAAAAGCTAAATTTGTGACAACTGAATTATGTTTTATTAAATCGGTGAGCTGCGGCACTTTAACTGTATTAACTGTATATTAACATGTTAAATTATAAAATTAATATTCTGATTAGTATCGTGTAAAGCAGATACTAGTGAGTATAATAATTTAAATACTTACAAAAGACTAGAAGGGCAAAGACATAAAATGTGGCCATGCAAGCGGAACTAAGGGACATCCCCGCGACGTTTGCTCCGACCACGGACCCCAAACGGCCGAACATCAGGACTGCTCCCACTGCAGTGCCCCTGGAACAAAAAAACAGAGAATTCAATGAAGTGGCTATGCCTTATTAAGTAAGAACTAAGGATGTCGTCTTTCTAAGTTACTTTGAAATAAAACATATTGTATTAATTCAATGTTAAGATAAATGTCTAATTGCCTGGGGAGTGAAATTTTAATAGTTAAAGCATTATTATATTGCAGTACCTAAAGCTGATACGAATAAGGGAAAGTCGTTTTGTGGCAAAAAAAAAATGAAAAGAAAGAATTGTTTTTAATTTTAAAATGAAAAAACAACATCAGTGTTTATAATGTGACTATAATAAGATAAAATCAACAGAACAATGTTTTAAAGTAAAAATAGATTTAAAAAAAACACTAATCAATAATTTCAAAGACCCGTGTTTTGTATTTAATGTCTTTAAAAATAGTATACACGACTATTTGAATGAGACATTTTAAAAAAGAGTTGTTATACAAATGTTATTCAAGGTGTCAATCATACAATACTTCTATACACATTAACTAGAAATAATAATAGAGCACTTTATAGCATTAAACGAGTGAAACGTACTAGAGATTAGTTAAATGTTTTCCAAGTGGAGATGTTATTGTGCATGCTGTATTCACCTGTTAGTGCAATTAGTTTTAAGCACATAATTTGTGTGTCTTTTGTAGTGAATTATTGTATATAAAAAAAATTGGTGAATCAAATAATTAAGTAATCAAATATATTAATTAACTTAGAAGTGCGTTATGCCCCTGCAGCATGAAGAGAGGTTTTTCAACCAGCCTAGGTAAAAATGCCTGGCGGACACCAGACCAAGTAGTAGCTAATTGTACCTTTGTTAGATGACTTGGTTTTTCGTTGCCTGTGGAATTCGCTACACGTACCCCCACAAAATATCACAATGATAGGAATGAAATGGAAAGTTACAAGAATTAAGCATAAAAAACGTTGTAATGCTATTATTGTGGCAGTATAGTGACTGCATTATTTATTTTAGATAATAATTCAAGTCGTGTACATATGTCGTTTTCCACGATATCGTCGTTTTTCGAAATGTTGAAACTTTTTTATTCCTAGGGATCTGGATTGAGGCATTACAAATTCTGTCGCGCCCACCCATTTTCGCACTTGATTTTGTCTGTTAATTTTAAAACGGTTTATCAAAACAATTTTGTTTCGAACAGAGTTATAAAGTAAAGTAAATATTTTAAGTTCAATCCTTGCAATGTGTTGTATTGCAATAACTGCTGTTTATAGTTTGTTAACTTATAACTAACGGTATTTTAATGGTTAGAGAGCTTTAGAGTTGCGAACCCCACTCAGCACTTTAGCGACGCGAGTCCATAATTGACACAGTTAGATTAGCTGGAATACTTGTAATACGTGACAAAACTTGGTGACTCCTTGTTTATTTACTGATCCTGTAAGGATTTCGATCAATTTGATTTTTTCATTCGATTCGGATAAAGTGATTTTAATCCAAACATTATTGGACGAATTTCATATGTCACAATTTTTCCTCGAAGTACTTTTTTCACAGAGTGTACAAACTTTCAGCTATAATAGCGCTATGTATTTATTTATAAATACGACGTGTATATTTTATACATATATATTCGTGTATATGTTCCCTTGTTCGTGTTGTTTGTTCCATTGTCGGACTACACTAACCCCTTGACACAATTTAGTCAGTTTATTCTCACAATATTTACTAGTACATTAAGTATCTATGCAATCGTATGTACGACTTGGATTATATCTTGTATGTGTACTGTGTGTTGACCCCACTGTGAGTGTTATCATTTTCGTACCACGTAAATATCAGCTGCTGATAAAATATAATTTATATGATTGCAGATCTAGCGTGCGGCCTTGGGTACTGGTTTTCGCACAAAAATGATTTTCTTTTGTCAAAAAAAAAAAATATAGTGAAGGCATAGGTACCTAAAGAATTAATAATTGCTCTTAAGTCGGTTTTCGTTTATTGAACAAGGGACGGGGATGTAACTAAAAAGAAAACATCAAATTGTAAGGGTGCATGATACGACTAGAGTTTTTTTTGTAAAGAGAATACTGTATTTAAAAAATAAATTCTTTGTTATATCTATCTACATAATATAAAAGCAAATATTTTTCACGAAGCAAATGATTTGTTAACAACAACATAATCGTTAAACATCATAAAGATATAGTTCTCCACGATTGTAAGCATAAACATGTTTCAATTATATTTATTACATATCTCTGTGGGATAAAAAGTTTTCCATTATAATGTTTTACTGCACATCGCTTAGGTTCAGTTGTGGTTATGCACTATCACTATGCTATCATAATTTATTTATTTAAAACTTAATGCACAGGTTGTGCAAAGGCGGACTTAATGCCATTAGGCATTCTCTCCCAGTCAACCTTAAGGTGAGGTAGAAATATGATGCGGTAGGTGCAAAATATAATATTTAATTTAACATAATTGAAGTCCAGAGACATACACAATATATTAACACACATACATACACAAACCTACATAAATTTAATAAAATATATCAATACTCAGTTGGGTACTAGCGTTGTGACTGTTCTGCCAATTCACTCCGAAGATTGAATGCAAGGCAGTTTGTGGACATCTTGATTTCGGAAGGAAGGGCATTTCAGAGAAAAACTAACTGGACGTAGGAGGAGTAGTTGAAGAAGTTGGAGGTGTGAGGAGGGCATAGAAGAAGCATATTGTTGGTTGACCTAGGATTTCGGTTGCGACTGGAGCATAAAAAACGGAAGTGGGGTACGAGGTATTCAGGTAACGATGGAGAGTTGAGGAAAGAAAAGAGATAAGTCAGTGCTCGCTAACTGTGGTGCTGAAGAATTGGCAGCCATTGCAGCTGGGAACGTAAAGCAGACACGTGAATTGATTGATTGAAAACGAATCGAATGCAGTTATGGAGAAGGCGATCTAGTTTATCCACAGATCATAATGTATGTTAGCAACTGTGTATATTACTAAACATTTAAGCTGGCTAGTGTTCAAGCGGGAGTTAAGCAATCATTACAGCCATGTTGGCTAGTGAGGGATGCTGGGGTGCAGTGGTCTCTTTCTGTGAAACTATATTGCTCTAGAAAGAGACCGCTGAACGGGATCCGATCCAGTCTGCCAGATAGTGGGGACCTTTAGTGGCAGATTAGGGACTGCAGAATAGGGTGGCGGCCTAATTGTATCGAGACGCGATCAGGCTGCAAATTGGTCCGATTAGCGGGTAGAAGCTTGCGTGACATGGCTTGGGACCTTTCCAGAGTACACCGGCCATCAGCATCGGTCGAAACCGTCGGACCGAACTAAATTGTATGGAAGATAAATATCTCCCATGGCTTTTATAGCCATAGGAGATATTTACATAATTATTCTCGTTGTACTTGTGCATATCAGTGCTCTTATTAAGTTCACGTTATGCTATTTTGATGTTGTATTTCCTGAAAATGCCTACAAAAGTGTACTTTCCTTGTGTTGAAAGCGTAAGAGATTGTCTTACGTTATTAATGTTTGGCAAATGCCAGTGAAAGTATTTAAAAAAAAACTGTCATTATCTTATTACATCTCTCATCGCTATTATTTGTCACCACAGATTTTAAAAATAAAAATTATGTTAAGAAAAGTAAAAAGACAAGGACTTTTTCATAGTCCTAAGAAGAGTAAGATTGTCTTTTAATACTGTCTTACCCTGCAGTGGCGGCCTTAGCCATTGCGAGGCCCCGGGCGGGTAGATCATTGCAAGGCTCCGGGCGGGTAGATCATTGCGATTATTTGTTTTTGTGAAATTAGCTTTAATAGTAGTACTTGAAACAGAAATGCATTGCAACAAATACTGCTGCTGGAACATGCAACATAAGCCGACGACAGCTGACACTGAAAGCCTGTCAAAATGACAGGTGAAATACGGGTAATACCCAAACTGAAACGTAAATACCACGATAACTACGATAAAGCGCGAGTATTCAAATAAACATATTTTTCAATTTGAGTTGTTGCACGAGTGCGCGAAGCACCCCCTAAGGCCGCACATACCCTACTACATACTTCTTCTTTGGCCTCGCCTTCTCCAGCTACACGGGGTCGGCTTTTCCAGTCATGGTCCGTCGCTGTGCGTCCTCTTCCCACAGACCCAGTTCCTTCATGTCCCTCTGGACATTCGTCAGCCAGGTGGTCTGAGGTCTTCCTTTTCCCCTATTTGGCTACTATAGCCATAGAAAGGCACCCTACTACATACTAATATTTCTAATACCGACGTCTCTAAAAACTAGAAAGTTTAAAGTAAATTGTTAAAATTGAGTATTTTATTCGTTTATTCTTACCTCAGTGTGGTGGGAAAGAGATGCACAACATAGGCAGTAAGAGGTCCGATTCCGAGTGCTGTAATCTGCAGTGAAGATAGTGCTATACCAGCAATTATCCTGTAAAATAAAATGGAATTAGCAGTTGATCTTAGTCCTTTAGTTACAAGACTGGGGAAGTATATCCAACCAACATCAGATCTTTAAAAGGAAGTATAAGAATGACAACGCATAATTTATACCGTACCTCAATTCGTAACTTTTTTAAAAATAACCGCTTACTACTAAGTTTTCCCTTTCAGCGTAATTGAGACAGATGACGGAAAGAAAAACTTCACATAACACAAACTGTTTTACCTGTTGGTTGATAGCCCTGCGATAAGACACCCAATACCCACAAGGATGAACATAGACACCAATAATGTCTTCTTCGAGAGTGGACTGACGCTGGCGAGGGTTACCAACACACCATACACCAGAGTGGTGACCACCATAATGTAAAATGTTTGGTAAGACATTTCATCCATGCATTGTGGAGTGGATGTCTGGAAAGAGAAAAAACTTGTGATAACATTCTAAACACTTTTAAACCAATTTTCCAGGAAAGGACTAGTTTGGTGTCGAAAAGGACATAATAAATTTTTCTGGCAATAACAATTCTAATTATTCTATTATTAAGAATCTTATCAAACAAAATGTACATAGATATCTCTTGGAGGAGTCTCGGTTTTCCCGACACCGCACGCAAAATATTGATACAGTTTCGTAAATACATCAGTGATAATCAAATTAAAATGTAACTTGAGCATTGAGAAATACCTATAAAAACTGCGTAACTGTATAGCTAAAAACATTTATAGGTTTTGTGTACCTGTATAAATATAATTAATATATTTTGCATGTAGGTAGTCTCATCAGCTTTAAAAGCCAGAGCTAAACATTTAAAGTTATTTTTTGTCCTACTGACACTTTAGTTGTTGCAAAATAATCTTTATTTAATTAACCGGTTTCCTTACTATTGTAAATAAATACGGACCATGTTCAAGAAAAAATTTAGTGATCGATATATTTTCATCGTAAACAGGTTCTTTCTATGAATGAAATGCGTGCTTTGAGCTCAAATTTAAGTTTTTATTTTAGAAATAAATTATATCATTATATTTGGAGATTTCATTTAAATATTTTTTAATTGTAGTTTTGTTTTCTAACATACACATTTATAACAAAAACATAATAATATATCAACCTACAACATTGACTAACATTACTTAGTCCAAGTTAAACTGACTGACTGATTATCAGGTGCCAAACCTTTTTTGACCAGTAACTTTCCTAAGTTGAACATAATTGAATGCACCTGTTTTAAGCGTTTTAATTATAATTTAGTAACTTAACGAATATTTCTTTTTGATTTCGTAACAATAAACACAATAATATGTGTGTAAGCTGATCACGTTTCTGAATTCCGTCTAAAGCTTAAGTGGCTTCCAAACTGTTTTTGCTGGACTACTCATATCCTTTTTTTGGAATTACAACATATTATTTAATCCTACATCTCCTTTTTAACTCAAAGAACGGTTTACATTCCTTCATGAAACACATGAAAAATGTCTAAGGTCATCAGAGGATTTGAGCCTGGATATGCCACAGCATTCCACAAAAATGTATGTTTATTCTTTTACTGTTCAAGTTGTACGATTATGGAATGCGTTTCCAGTCCACATAAGGCAATATCCAATCATAGGCATATCCAATAAATCATCACGTTTAAGAAAATGGTTTTTGAACATTATCTTCTCATCATTATCATCATCACCAGCCCATCGCTGTCCACTGCTGAACGAAAGCCTCCTTCATGGAGTGCCAATTGTTGCTACACTATATATAATCGTCCCTTAGTTTTTTGTTGTATTTAATATAGATAAGCTTATCTATGCCTATTTTTGTATGTATCTTGTTACGTATTGGTATGGATAGGTAGTTTTTTTTGAGTCAACTTCTTTTATACATCACTCCTGTCTCTCCTAATCTTATTGATCCATCTAATTGAATGGAAGAGACTACCTATTGTAATAAGATCACCCTTTTTTTTTTTTTCCTTGCGGAAATCCCCTCGGATACCACCTATCGGTGGCATGTCGGACTCGAACCGACTAAAACCGCACGCCGTCTCGGGTACTAATAGCCGGGGAACCAGGTATACGCTAGAAAGGAAGTCCCTGGTGCCCCGACATACCTCGGGCCATCTACAGACGAGTAGACGACCCCCCCCGGGTGGGAACCCCATGTTCCCTCTGCTAGGGTGACAGATGGCCTCACCTGTCACCCCCAGGCCTGCGCTTATGGAGGACGGAGGTCATTCTGCAACCTCCGTCCTCCCGTTCCCGGGCCTGGCAAGCCGGGAGAGTTCTAAACCTTTCCTGGTCCCGCTCCGCCGTCTCCTTCGCGAGCATAACTTGCTCGCAGAAGGAGACGGCAGAGTTCCACGCACTCTCGCTCCGCACGATAGCCGCAATCAGGCTATCGAGCGAGAGAACTTCCACTCCGATGGCCGCTACGAGGTCTCGCCTGTGCTCAACCCACGCCGGGCACTCCGCCAGCGTGTGGAGAGCCGTGTCCACGGTCCGGCCATCGCAGTGGTGGCACTCAGGCGTTGGCTCCTTGCGGATCAGACACAGGTGATCCCCGAAACATCCTTCGAAGATCACCCTATGTAAATTACCTATTGATACGATACCTTCACGGTAAAAATGTAGGATACTCTCACTGTAACAATAATATGCAAATAAAGAGTTATCTATCTCTCGATCTATGTAAGATAGCTGCTAATTAAGATTCTGCAAATTACTGAATTTGATATAAAATGTTTGGCTGAACTTACAGAATTGCTATTCTCAACCATGAGTTGACACACGGTGCCGGAACTAGTCGGGTTGTTCATCACTTTGTTAATGGTGTCGGGAGCGAATAAGAAGAGACCGTTAAGACTGAAACAAAGCATGCATAATATTATTATTACATATTATTTGTTATATTACTATTTCGCTTCATCACTTGCATTTATCACTTATTTTTGGTATAGGGGGCAAGTAAAAGGGTTACCTGAATGAAAATGTTTGGGAAGACAGCCGTGTATTACTCAGAAATATTGTGTTACACTTTAGTTTAGTCCTATTTTAAAAAGAGAGCCTCTTTTTCGTAAGCTCCAAGAAAAAACATTTTCTTAATTGGTAACAGTAAAATCACACATGTAATTTCAGCGAAACGAAGAAACATACATCTACAGCACCATTTAATGAAGACACTGCGATATAATATCGCGATATGAACAATTCTCTCGCCGATTAGCATATATACAAGTAGCAGATCAGCAGCAGAATCATCGCCACCAGTATGTACACTTCCACAACGACGAGCGGTAAACCAGCAACCTCGGTTACAACAGGGATACCATCTGCAGGTAACGACCGCTCCAGTCTGCTTACCCTACGGCCTCATCAGCGTCTAGATACAGCACACTGTATCTACGGTCCACGTAAGAAGAGCATCTCTCTTCCGTCTACGCAGCAGCTAGCCACTTCGCAGAAACTGCCCGACTCACTGGAGACTTCAACACAGTAGCGCACACTGCATGCAATCCCTACTCACTGGAATTAGCGCACTTCAATCCCGACTTACTGGGACTAGCGGAATACAGTTCCGACTCTCTGAAACAAGCGGCACTAAGTTCCGACTCAATGGAACTACTCACTACTGGTACTGGCACGCCCAAAAACAGCATAGACAGCTGACTCATTAATATATCGACCTCCGGTCTTGGAGGGGAGTGATGTGGCGACTTCCACATGCGATGAAATGAAGAAACATACTACAGCACCATCTAACGAAGACACACCGAACTAAGTAACTGCTAATCCTCTATCGCGATATGAACTATTCTATCGCCAATTAGTAAATTTACAACTTTCCAAATTCAGCCAGGCATGATCACCTCGCCTGGTCGGAGGATCCTCCCTTTGTGTCGATACACTGTTCCTCCACATAATTGTCGTAGACGTGTCAAGATATTTCATGTCAAATTATGGAACTAGCCACATCATGAAGTAGTCGACCATGTTATGAAATGTTCGCATTTCATGAAATAGTCGGTCACAGCATATAGTGTAGACAGATCAATAAATACAGATTGACCATATCATGAAGTAGGCGTGCAAGTGAATGATTTGAGATTCACAGTCAATCTCTTAAATCAAAACATAAAGGAGCAGTATACTCGAAGTTATGTTCCTAGTTCATTTTGATTTTTTGCAAAGCAATGACAAATGTACAAAGCGACATGAGGGAGTTAGGCCTGTCCACTGACGATGCTTACCAGCGAAATGTATGGCGCCGCATGATAGAGAAAGCCGACCCCGCGTAACGGGAATGGGCGAGAGCAAAGAAGTAGTATCGATGACGATATGACGTCAACAAAATGTCATTTATGATTTGGATAAAGATCGTTTTTTTGCCTTGAACTTAGAAGGAACCTCAGTGTAGAGACTACATGACATAGAATGGACTAAGTAGGTAAGTGAGTAAACAAGTGAGGCCAAATAAAAAAGCTAAGACTTCGGGCTTGCGTCAAACGGTTGCGGGTCCAAAAACCTTGTTCTAAACTTTTTAATCATCTACAATTTCCTTCAGGAGTCACAAACGCGTTGCAGGACTTTTAGGAAGGAGTACGCTCTGAAAATTTGACTTGAGAACGTTTATAAAATTACTTACAAAGAAAATAATCCAAACATTAGAAAGCCGGTGAGCGCAAACCACTTCAAGTGCGGCGCTCGCAGCAGCGCCATCGCCGAGACGCTCGGCGCCTTCGTCGTGAGCGCGCACCTTGAACCAGTGAGCTCCAGTTTCGACTTTTCGATTGGTGACTTTAAAGATTTTACCTGGAAACAGACAAATTATCTGTAATTAATTTATTTATGTATCCAGGAAAGGTACCCTATGTCCTATTTGACATAATGATATAATTATTGATATGATTTCATGATAATCGTTTTAGTAGTTAAGCTGTTCAAACGTAACAACAAAATAAGCATATATACAAATAAATTCATTTTCAAGTTTAAACTATTATTGTGGAGTCCTTTGAAAATCACACAATTTTTTGTCGTCGATACAAAACATTGAATTCCCAACACTCGGAGCGGTGCAGTCGCGTAGAGACAACATTACTATTTTTAAATTAATGTTTACAATATCACTGTGCATTTTGAGAAAGCTTATCACATATGGCTGCACGGATGACATAGTGCCTTAAGCGTTCACTTCGTCGCATCCTATTGTGCCCATGTGTTGTGGGTTCGTTGCTAGCATGGGACAGCACTTTGTGTGGTCCACCAATTGTTATTCTGAGTCTGGGTGTTCTTTATTTCCGTTTCATGTATGTCCCTAAAATTCACTGCGACATAGTATATATGCCTAGTTCGAGAGGTGTGTTTTAAAAAAAAGAGATGTGGTAATGGTCATGTACAAATATATTATTTACATGTACCTATTTTCTTGAGACTACGTGATTTGAACCACTTTATTATTTGAGTAAATTAATAAAAATACTATATTTAAGGGCTGCATGCTCAAGTAAACCCCCAACATACAAAGATGGTCTGTCCTCTACACGTTTCTACCTACCGGAATTTGGTGAGTATCAGTGTGATTACATTTATTGAACAGATTACACTAATATATTGTAAAACCGTATAATAAACTTAATCGTAAGATATACGCACTCATAATAAATGGTGAGCCATATAATTTTACGTCAGACTGCATCGAATAAAAAATATATCTTTTTTCTTTTCTTAATTCCCCATCGGTACCTGAGTACCTGGTTCCCCATCTCCGCCTCCTTTGCTCCAGTCACGACCGAAATCTTCGATCTACAAATAATATGCTTCTTCTTTGCCCCCCTCACACTTCCAACTTCATCAATTCTTCCTTCTATGTACAGTCAGTTCTTCTCTGGAATGCGCTCCCAGTTGAAATTAGAATGTCCACTAACCGGTTTACGTTCAAGAAGAAAGTACAAGAACTTCTACAAAATAAGTTGGCAGAAAGGTCACATCGCTAGTACCCGACTATGTGTTTTTATATTTATGTATTTATAAATGTGTATATTCACCTATTGTATGTGTATACTTGAGACCTCTATGTATATATGTAGTTATGGATATAGTATTTTATTTATAGTATTTATAGTGGTAGTGTATATATGTAAGTTAGATTTATCCAACATTAATAATATAAACAAGTCAAATTCTCTGTTTTCTCTTGCACCTACAGCTTCATTTTTCTACATCACCCGAAGGTCGACTGGCAGAGAATGCCTTGGGCATTAAGTCCGCCTTTGTACAACTAGTGCATTAAGTTAAATAAATAAAAATAAATAAATAAAATAAAAATAAAATATATGACTTAAATCTCAGGATGTCCACAAACCGTTTCGCATTTAAAAGGAATGTACATAATTACCTTCTCAAGGAGATGGCGGAAGTGACTTAACAAATAGTACACCTCCTAAATTCAAGCATTTACAGTGTACAAACTTATATGTATTTATATCTATATTTATTTCTATATATATGTGTAATTATATTTGTATTACATTATAACTTATATGTTATTATATTTGTAGATTTTGCTTAGTTTTAGATAAAAAAATATATTTATAATCATTGATTACAATCTATCTAATTGATTACAAGATTTCTACACCACCTAAAGGTTGGCTGGTAGAGAATGCCCAGGGCATTAAGTCCGCCGATGTACATAAGTGCATTAAGATGTAAAATAAATAAAATAAATAAATAAAATCTGGTTGTCATTATAGTATTAGTATTCTTATATAAAGTTTGTTACTAAAGCTAACATAAAACGGATTCGACTGCACGGAGGGCTTAGTGGTTTAAGCCACGCCGCTTCCTAGTACGCCGAGCGCTGTGGGTTCAAACCCCACATGGGACGACACTTTGTGTGATCCACAAATTGTTGTTCTGAGTCTGGGTGTTCTTTGTGTCCGTTTCATGAATGTTTGTAAAGTCCCCCGCGACACAGGATATATTCCTATAAGTATCCTTAAAAATAAATAAAAAACCTAGTATATAACTTACACAAAATGTATTTTCAGACTTTCCAGTGTTCACTTTATAAATTTTCTTTAAAACCTCCAAGGCTTCAGTTTTTTTACCCCTCGTCATTAAAAACTTGGGGCTTTCGTCAACAGAAAGTACGAGGAGTGCAGAGATCAGAAGAGGAAGTGAGTAGACGGCGGTAAGGAGCCGCCAGGGTCGCATGTCTATGAGACCCCAGGCGTAGCGCCAGTTGTAAGACAGCAACAACCATGCTAGACCTGGAAACGTTAAGTACTGGCATGAGTTTACATTTTGGATACCAAAATAATATTATATACATATATTGTACGTAATTACATGGAGTTGAGGAAAAACTACTCTTTTATGAGGTAACTCGATAACTCTAAACTACCAAATGCACAAAATATAAAAAACATAATTCAAATGCGGGTAGTTGTTAATGTTTTTGTTTCAGCTAACCGGAATATAGCCTACAGATGAGTTCCAGTATGAGTCTTAACGCTGAACCTCTACAACTGAACGTACCCGAACGCAGACTTACCAGGACTGAAGACTGTCATTACGTTGACAAGTCCGTTGATGATGAGCACGGCAATGTCACGTCGTTTTTGTGGCAACATCTCTGAAACGTAAGCGTAGCCAAGAGAGGAGGGGCAAGATAGACTGAAAACAATTAGTAAAAAATAATTAAAAATGAAATTAAATAATATTTAAGGCTATAATATTTTGGAGTCCAAAATAGATAGGAAACATAACCTCGAATATACTCAAACTGGCAATGTGAAACAAATATTAAAGTGTGACATGAAAAAAGAACTTTCTTCTTAAATGTCCATTAAAAGTTTTCTGAAAGAGATTTGTTATAGAGTTGACAAATATTTTTCATGTTTATACCATACTTTATATCCTAATATGCATAGACACTTTTCGGGAAAGTTTTATCTAGTTTCTTTTCTTTAAAACAAAAAAGTATAATAAAAACAATCATGACTTGGGACTACTCACAATAGAGAGCAAGCAAATTTGAAGATTGCGAAGCTAATGAGGTTAGGCATAAACGAGGCAATGAACGCCATTGTCCCGGCCACAACTAACGAGCCCAGAAGTACAGGTTTTCTGCCTAAGTGATCTGCCGCCCTACCCCAGCATGGAGCAGTCAGAATAATTCCTGAAAACGAAAATGAGATTTAACAACTTTTTGTCTGGCCGGGAAAGACATTTCTGATTTCGATGTAAGCCAAATTAACACGTAAAACATTTGTAAAAATTCCAATTGCACATATCAGTGGGAATTTGTATAAATTCATGCTAAAAATGGCACTACAGGTGCCTACATAGTGCAGTACAGTAACGGTTACTTAAAAACTATTTAGTTATACAGTCAGTCTTGTGGTGCGTTAATTTGTTTGTTTTATTTGAAGTTTCAGTTGTGTTATTTGCAAAAATATTTAATTCTGCCTCTATCTTCATATTAGTCTTCATAAGTAATTTTTTCTTACTATGAAATCATAGTTACTCGTAGAAAAATTTACTTTCTTACAATATTTTTTTTGTATAGGTACTTTATAAATTATATTTATACTGTAATATTCAATTGGTTTTAAAGTATGTATTCTATATTTAAAAGAATTGCAATAACAAGCAACTTACCAATATTTGGTAGAGAAGTGAGAATCCCCCTGAGACCATCTGGTACATTAAGGTCACAGGCCGCTGCAGGCAGTATGAAGGCTATACCGATCATTTCTAAGATGGCTCCTACGAGAGTTGACAGCATGATTAAGCAGTGGAAGAGTTGGTACTTGCCAGTGCCTGCAATTGTTTTCATAACGAGTGAATGTCTAATCAAAATAATGTCAGGCGTCGCTCATAGGATGTTATTCGTATTCTAATAAAAAATAATTTCTTATATATTTTAATATATTTCTTATTTGATTTGAGCCATTTGGCTATTTGTATTTCATTAGGTATTTTATCTCAATAATAATCGGTCTAACGAAGAACATATAGACAGACAATCCATTTTTACATGAAGACTATCCAAGGCAACAAGGGCATCAGAAGTTATATGGACACTTAGCGACAAACTATTTAATCCGATAAAATATATCGGCTATGACATGAACGGAGTGCAAATAAAACAAAGGGGAGCATTATCAAATTTCTTTAGAAATACTGATTAATAAGCTAGCTAACTCTAGCTAAGCTTAACGCTTATAAGGAGAAGAGGTTCAAGAGTGGCTGCGAGTACACTACGTACTGTGTGGGTAAGCCTGACACCACTCGTAAATCACTGGATTCAGTGTAAGGTATTGTAATTAGAGACAAAACCACGTTTAGCAAATATGCAAAGATGCTAAAAAAATGGATAATTTAGAGGAAGTGGTTGTACTCCTATATATGTATATAATCCTATTGCCTTTTCCTCTTGTATATCGAAGTATCACTGATCAGAGGCTCGACTGATTTAGCTGTTTTTTTGTCCAGTCGTTATTTTTAGGACAATGTGTGTAAATTTATACCTTTAAAAAGACATCTCCCGCATTAGGTATATATTCTGTGTCGCGGGGACTATACAAACATGTATGACTCAAAGAACACCCAGACTCAGAACAACAATTTGTGGATCACACAAAGTGTCGTCGCATGTGGGGATCGGACCCACAGCACTGAGCGTGGTAGTCAACGGAGTGGCGACCGCCTAAATCACTACGCCATCCGTGCAGTAAATGAAAATGACTATAGGGCCAACTAGGAAAAAATGTAGTCTAGTAGAATAAAAATTCAATAATATACTTATCATCACCCTGCACCGTACGAGTTTTGTGTGTCTAATGATAAACTTTAGCAGTTTATTTACGTACATTAAAAAAAAACGTTTTTAAGAGTTTGGGTCTGCTACGTTTTGAAACTGTTTTAATTTTCAGAGGTATAAACAGTGTAAATCCTATTCTAAAAATATTACAAGTATTTCACTAAAATAAAATCCAGAAACTTTTATTTTATTGTAAAGAATTGTGTGTCTACAATCACATCAACAGCCTTTAATAGTCCACTGCTGGACGTAAGCCTCTGCTTAGAAAGGAGGTTTTGGCCTACTATATCTATATGTCTACAATATTTAATCAATAATAAGTAATCAAATGTCTTGACACATCTCACACACGGCCGTCTGATCCCAAATCAGATAGAGTCTGTGCCATGGGAATCAGACTGATTATAATGAAATGAAATTATAATACATGTATATTTCCAAAATACATGTTATAGTTAAATCACACCCAGACACAATAAGTAGACACGTGTAGTGACGGATTAAGAATACGAATTTCACTACCCCAATTCATCCCGAGGGTGTCGTAAGAGGCACTGCAAAAAGAAGGAAAACTTGATACAAACCCTATACCAACTCGTCTGCCCAGCGTGATATAGTAGGCCAAAACCTCCTTTCTGAGGAGAGGCCTATGTCCAGCAGTGGACTATTAAAGGCTGTTGATGTGAGACACAATAACTGATTGTGTTCATCTTGTAGTATTTGTCCCGAGTGGGAATCGAACCTACTATATGCCAACAGGTCCATCAATGCGTGAAAATTACATTAAATTAAGTGAAAATACCTAAACATAATGCCTTTTGTAGAATAAATTGTTAAGTATCGTTACTGATAAACCAAATACTAAAACGAAGGATGTACGAATCAACACAACTGTAGTAAAGTAGTACATGCTCTGACTAAATCATCAATGTACGTATAATGCAAGTAGGTATAGTTGTTTAACAATAGAACAAAATCAGGTCAAAATTTACAGTTTTTGGAACATACATGTAGAGCTCCAGTTTATTTCCTACAAATTTATTAAAACTGGTGGCCTCAACTTGTTAAGGTAAGTTTGTCGCTTCGCCCAGCATAAAGTGTATACATTCGAATGACACATCACAAATATTATGTATGTATGTGTTGTATATGTATGTATTATGTATGTGCGAATTTTATGCGTTGCCGCATCGTTCATCCAAAATTTTGCAAGCGTCTTTTGCAAGAACAATGCAAGGACCTATTAGTGTTACATCCATCCAGAGAACACTAATATATCGAATCTCGTGGACGAAATTGACACGATTTTATGAAGGGAACGGTTTGTGTATCAGAAGGTAACAGACGGTATCCGTGTGTTGACTAGTTTGGATTACGGACTGTTACCACCCCCATTCATCCAGTGGGTGTCGCAGAGAGCAAACTACATAGGACAAAAGGCAGTTGGAACAGAAAAAAAACTTGACTCAATCCTTAGAGCAACCCGACTGGCCAACGTGGTATATTGCAGACAGGTACCTATATAAACTGTACAAATCAAGCAAAGGTTACAGTTTTTAAAGCATTCTGCCAGTCCTTTTACACGTGCAGTCTTTGGACCAGTTTTACGCAAGGGACATACAGCGACCTGCGAGTCCAATATAAACGGGCTGTCGTGGCGTTGTAGTGCGTCCGGTATGTTTGCGGAGGCACACACAGGCGACTTTTACGCAATTTAAAGAAAGAGGTGCGCACCGCTACTAGCAGTGTCCTGATGGTGTTTACAGGTCGGTGGGACTCCCCTCTGCCGCGCCACTGGTCAAAGATCAACACCAGTCACCATAATAATTGATTGTGTATTACTAATATTAGTCCTTAAGTTACTTAGTTTGTACTAACCCTATGGACTATGTCTGAAATAAACTATTTGAATTTAATTTAATTTGGTCAAAACCGCCTTTCTAAGGAGAGCCCTATGTCCAGCAGTGGCCTATGGATTGTTGAAAGTAATGATGATGACAGTTTGTTGAATTGCGTCTCTATATCTACCAGTTGTAAAAATATCTACGACAGCATATGCAACCGTTTTATATTATTGATAATAATTACCAATAATGTGTGCGTTATGAATTGGGGAAAGTATCTACCACTTTTTTGCACTTACTTTTGCTTAAAATAGTGATGTTAAAGGAAAGTTCAATGTTGATTAGGACTATAGTCCTAATCTAAGAGCTACCGTTTGACAGTTCTGACAGATTGAAGAATAGGGAGGGGGTCAAAGAAATCGATTACTACAATATACGATTCTTAAGAGATATCGATATCATTATTTTTTTTATATACAAGTCGATTACAGGTTTACAGATTTAGGTATGTTACTGTAATAGCCCGTATATTATTATATTTTAGGTTTTAAATCTAAATAAGTAATTTAATGAATACAAATGAACATCTGTAAAACTGTGACTCTTAAAAAAGGTTTGAAATACACCTCGCACCTAATTTTATGGTAGTCAACACATGCATAAAATAGTTGCAACCAATTTTCATCCTAAATTACATTTCTAAAAGACGTGTTATTAAAAGAAATTATACATTGAAGACATTGATATTGAAGAGGTTAATTAGGTTAGAAATGGCTTATAGTTTAGAAATACATTTTTTAATACTCATCACAATTAAATTAAAAGAAATGGGTGCCAGCAATTGTCGACTTTATGAATGTATAATCCAGTATTTCTTTTTAATATTTGTGATCAGCGTCATTCATGGACGTCACGTTTTTATTGAGATATATTTAATGGCGATAATTGTATTTTGTTATCTGTATGTGTTGATATTAAGGAAAACTACTTGGAGAAAATTTCAACACGACTGTACAATTTCTGCCCTAAAACGAAGACGGACACAAAGCTTATTATATAAATTTTAGAAATTAATAAAAAGCGTGATATGTTACTTGTTTGCCACTTTAGTAGTAAGACTTGCATGGTGCGTATTGCGGATACTACAAGTCGTCTGGATTGAAAATGGCAGGTTATTAATCAGTTCGATTATTATGAATAATCAAACTGATGAATCGAACTGATGAATTTAAACGATTATTCGTACACAAAGTGAATTTGAAGAGTCGCAGCACTACGGCAAAGGACCTAACTACGTGACTTTGAAATGAAGTCTAAAAAAATTATATCTATTGTGGATATTGCTTCTTTTGCTTTGCTTAAAAGATTTCAGTTTAAATTTAGTCATTACGAATTGTACATCTTATGATAAAATAGCAATAGCTTCATAATTCCATGGTTTTACGGCAAAATTTATTACAATTGTGTGAGTTACGCCAATACAAAGTTGTTTCGTTTTGAAAAGTAAGAAACGTCAAACGGGACTTCTTAGATTAGATGGACTATGGTACCTCCAAAGAGCTTAGGCTATTTTGTTATTGTAATTAAAATTTTGTTCAAATACCGTCAGAGTTATAAAAACGCCGTTAATATATGTATAACACCTCCATTGTAACAATAGTGAGTAAATAAAGTGTTATCTATCTATCTAATCAAAGAAACAATCTGTCTGTGTCTACATCCGTTCTGCGGTTTGAGTGTGATTATGTAACAATCATCACTATAAAACTAGTTTAAACTTATGTCATTATTACAGTATTGTACTAAATGTGTCTTAATATTTTCACGGTTCTTACATAAAAGTAAAACATCGTTGAAAAGGCTTTCACTGCGAAAAAGCTGATGTTATATGGAGTAATTAAAATTCCTCCACCCCTCCCCCCCTCCCCTGGTCGGTCGGTCGATCCGGTGACACAGTATTGGTATTGGTATTGGTTGTGGGCCTCGGTTTCCGCATTTAGACTCAGAGTGGTCCTTTATGCGTCGGGGATTGGTTGACTAGGTGAGCCAGCCAAGCTCCTTCCAGAAGCGCAGAAGCCTCCTGGGGCGTTCACAGGCTTCTAGGAGCGACTTTATATCAGGAATGATATTTGCCCGTTGTGTGGCCACTCCCTCGCATTCCAGGACTACGGTGGGCGGCCGTTTCTTCAGCTTCCAGACATCCCCTGCACAGGGGGCTGTCCGTCGCATTGACTATGAATAGTTGTCGGTTCAGGGCTAGATGTCCTGTAATAGTTCCGACAACCATTCTGATTTCCGGTCTGCTAAGACTGATCAGTCTGTAGGTGAGTCGTGGCGTGACTTGATTCAGCACCAGTTTGGACTGTCTGCAGCCGGGTGAGTTTTTCCACCTCCGGTTGTGTGCTTCACAGGTCCGTTGCCTTTTTTTTTTTTTTTTAACGTGTGGAAATCCCCTCGGACCGTCACCCCTCCGAGGTTTGCGGCGGGGTGGTGTGTCGGACTCGGACCGACTAAAACCACACGGTGTGCCACTCTGCGCCTGTAACAGGAGGGATCCGGGAACAGCTGTTGTTAAGACATCCGGACCCCTCCTAGCGCCAGCCCGCTCCTGGTGCGGGCTCCGTCTCAATGTAGATGTTCCTCTCTTTAGGCGACGTCCGGCACACGCGGACGCCGCCCCCTCGCGGCTGGCCAACTAATGCGGGTGGAGGGGAAACCCACCCCGTCCACCCGCGGCCACACTCAGGGCGGCATGAGGCTGTGGTAGGCGGGCCTCCGCCGCCCGGTTCGCCGGCGGCGGATCGGGTCCGAGTGGAGGTCATCCTCCCGGGCCCTCTCCGCCGCCTCCTTCCGCGAGATTACTACCTCGCAGAAGGTTGCGACCGCGGTAAAACAACTGTCGCTACCGGCCATGGAGCGTACTACGGCCGGTAGCGAGAGATCCACCCCGATGACTGCAGTGAGGGCCCGGCGCTGCGCCGCCCATGCGGGGCAGACCGCCAGCGTGTGCTGGGCCGAGTCCTCACTGCAGTCGCAGTGGTGGCAGGCGGGACTCAGTTCCCTCCTAGCGACCGTGTGCAGGTACTTTCCGAAGCAACCGTGCCCGGAAAGCACCTGCGTCAGTCGGAAGGAAAGGGTCCCGTGCTGCCGCCCTGCCCACTCGGCGATGACCGGCTGGAGAGCCTCCACGGCGGCACAGGCTCCACAGGTCCGTTGCCTGACCCAGCATCGTATTTGGTTAAACGATATGGGCAGGAGTGGGGTTGGGCCAGAGGTTGGGGTTGCCGAGCCCCTCCTTGCCAACTCATCTGCGGCATCGTTCCCGTGTGAGTTACTGTGCCCTTTAATCCATTGGAGGAGTACCCCATTGAATATAGCGAGCTGTTCCAGTGCTTGGTGGCATTCGAAGACAACACCAGAGGTCATTGTGTTGCCCTCCAATGCCTTTAAGATGGCCATGCTGTCGGATATTATTCGGATGTTGTAGTCCTTGATACCCCTTGACATGGCCGTTGTGGCGGCGTAAGTTATTGCCACACATTCACATTGAAATATGGAGCTGTGTTGGCCTAACGCTAGTGATATGTTTATATTTAGGTCTTGCGAGAAAACTCCGGCTCCAGTTCCTGACCTAGTCTTGGAACCGTCCGTGTAAATTCGGACTTCGTTAATGCCGGATTGATCTCGGTCATTTCCATGTATCTGGATGTAGTATCTTCTTGTGAAGATATGGTGTTTTGGGATTCTATCGCATGGAGCTGCTATCAGTGGTTCGTATTCCACCAATTGATCCCATAATTTAGAGTGCGATCCCTCCCTTTTGTGCCATAGACTCAGGTGTTTGAGTCTAATGATCGCCATGGCGGCCTCCTGCTGTATGAATAGATCCAGGGGTGGCAGACCAAGAGCCACCTCCAGTGCGGCAGTAGGCGTTGTGCGCATACAGCCAGTGACCGCGGAGCATGGGAGTCGCTGGAATTGCTGCAGTTTGTTTATGACGGTGCTTAGCTCTGTTTTCTGCCACCAGATAACAGCACCGTAAGTGATTATTGGTCTTATGACTGTCCTGTATAGCCATAAAGTAATTTTGGGTGATAGTCCCCAGCTTTTGCCGAGTAGCCGCTTGCATTGGCAGAAAATAATGCAGGCTTTATTCAGTTTTTCATCGAGGTGCTTATTCCACAGGAGTTTACTGTCCAGTATTACTCCTAGGTATTTGACCTCTTTGGTAAGAGTAAGTTGTGTTCCAAATAGCTTGGGAAGTCTGAGATTTCCTAGGCTGCGTTTGTTTGTGAACATGATCATCTCTGTTTTGGATGGGTTCACTGTCAGGTTGTGTGCTGCGCACCATTGTTCCACGATCTTCAGTGCAAGTCTCATTTGATCGCATGTAATGCTCTCGGTGACACAGTAATATAATAACACTAGCTGATCCTGCAAACGTTGTTTTGCTACTTACATTATTGAAATATTTTTTTTTTTGAATTTCGTAAAATCCGTTCTTAGCTGACCTCTACTCGGTGAAAAGAATATTCCTACCAAATTTCAAGTCTTTAGCTCTAATGGTTCTAGAGATATCGTGATGAGTGACTACATACGTGGAAATCTCTTATATAAATATATATAAATTACAATTGAATGTATTTACCAGCAAACTGCAATGCATCCTCAAGATCCGCCTCCGTAACCGTTGGATGTACTCTGTCACCATTTGAAATAACGATATGAGGCATGTTTAGTCTTCTGAAACAACATAAAATAAATTACTATTAGTTTATGTATATGTAATATGTGACGGGTTAACTAACTTTTTCAAAAACACTTGGAGGTATTTACTGTAATGCTTGGGGCAAATAACAGGGGCATTGGATGTCATAATAACAGTTGTTCTCGTATTCCTTCTATTTTAGGCACGGTGCAGTACACCTTGTTGTTTTAGTCAGTTCGATTGTTGGCTCCATGGAAAATCCCGGTAGGACGACAAGCCGAAGGAGCCCACACGCATAAAGAAAATTCACAGAACGTTTATACGGTTTGAACAGGTTGTAATATACAAGTAAATATAAAAATGTGATAAAGTGCCGTCGCGTCGGTGCTAATATTTCAGCCGCTGACGTTGCGTCGCCCTCCTGACTCAGACGTTGTCTGTCCTTAATTTAAAGATACCAAATAATAAATACATTTAATTAAAAAGATAAATTTATTACCAGTTTTTTAGTTAATCTAGTGATTGACTTGAAATTGTATATTTTTGGTGAAGTGACTTATTCTTAAACGCACACGGGTTGACTGTAAAGGACTCAGGTATAAACTTGTAAGAAAGTTAAAGAAAACCAAGTCTGAAAAATAGTTATGTTATTTGGAAATTGGTATACTAATTTATTTACAATGCTAAGTATTATTTAAGTGTAAATTAAAAATACTAACGACCAATAGAATAAAATACCTACTGATAATCTTCCAATAGATGAATAGATTTTCTTGAATTTTAACCAATAATACTACCTATTTATAAAGACACCTTTCTAACAATAAAAATTGAATATTTCAGTCCATACGTTTAGGAGCTGAGCCATGAATAGGTACACAAATACGTTCCGTTAAATTTTTAATGCCTAGGTATCCATATTGTGGCGAGAGTTAAAAAAAGAGGAGGAACAAACTAAGTATAGGGGCATTCCCTCGTTTCTATTATAGCGCAAACCATGACTACCATGTGAAGTTTACAAGAGTTTGCATTCTACTTATCATTTCAAATGTAATATTTGAATAAATAATTTAATCATTTTAGAAAATTTTGGCTGTACTCACTCAAGTTTTTTTAAACTGCTGTATATAAAGATTTCACTGAACGTTATCGACTGTTGCCGTTTGCATAATAATTTTTCATTAACATATTATTATTACTTGAAGAAATTTGAAAATAAAACATAAAACATGTTATCGTGTGACTATTGACTAGATTATACTACCAATTACTGTGAAAACAGTTATAAGTATGTATTATAAAATGAAACAAAGTTACAAGGTAAATAATCCAAAATATAGGTAACTAGGCCGATATTACTCAATCGAAGATAAAACGCCAAGGTAATGATAGATGACCTTTTACAAACGAAATATGATAAACCATGCGGACACTTGTAAAAGCATAGCCGTGGATCGAGCTAGCCAAGAAAGATTTATATAATGTTGCTGCCAAGTGCTCCAAAAAAGCGATCAGAAAAGCTCGTTTATTGCCCGTATCAGGATAGTTTAGCATCCTATCCTTTGTGGAGTTGCTGCTTTCAGATGTCTTATCAAATCAGTCGAGTTAAACTTGTTCATCTCTGTATCAATCTGATGGTTGTCTAGCATTAGAGAGAAATCAAATCTATTAGAAAATCTAACGGAACATCCTCGCCAAAACTAAATGCCGTCTAAAAATAAGATTTTTTTCAGGGGTATAGAAAATATGTCATAAAGAACCTTGCATCGAGAAACAAAATACTGTTCACGAGTGATATAAAAAAAAATAAACGGTCGGTCAAACGGTAGGTAGATAATATAATATTAATATTTTAGCATATTCACACAACGCCATCAAGTTCCAAACTAAACAGAGCTTGTACTATGGGTATTAGACAACTGACTTATATACAAAAATACTTTTTTTTTGTAAATACATAGAAACAAGTAGACCAAATCAAACATTAAATGTTCATGAACACAAATGTTAATGTTATGTTAATGGTAGTATTTAATGAAAAAAATTGGTCTATCGTCATACTTGCTTGTGTGTTGGACACCTAGGTACCGCTTTTAACTAGGGTATTGGTTATTTGGTTGTATATGATGTGAGTTATTATGAGCCTATTTGTATGCAACATTATTTTGGTTAATTTGCGCACTTAAATATGAATGTTATTACTATGCAGATCCGATATAAAACTATTTTTTTGCCGTCTCTTAAAAACCATAGGTAGTTTAACTTTTTTCTAAATGCATTATAGTAATATATTTTTGTATAGTTATATATAAATATATCCTTCGAGTAGTTTTTGGCTTTTAATTTACATGTTACTTGTTATACACCATTCGTCAGTAGGGCGTACAGTTATTGCTAGAGTTCTATATATTAAAAAATGTAGACTGTCTACGATTATTGTAACATACCTAAATCTGAAACTAAGGTTAACGTTCTCCTTTATAATATGCATGAAAAATGAACCCATAGACATGAAGCATGGTTAATGATAGTTTCAATTTTATTACTCAGATATGGATTCTTCTCTACTGTTTAATACTTTAAATATCTTACGATTTCTATTCAAATTTCGCTTATAAAAATACATTAAAAGTCCAGACGAAATTACTTAAAATAATCATATGCCTAAATCAAGTAGGTAGGCAGAAACCAATCACTCATAACGATAAATGCTAAGCAGATAACAGATATATTTATTTTTTTCAGACAGTTTATAGACCGATACTGTGTAACACTTTTATTTAAATGTAATTTTAAGATTGATACATTTAGATTGTCCGTTTGAAAGGCCTTGTGTTATCGTAGTGTAGTATTGTAATAAATATATATATTTATATATATATATATATATATATATATATATATATATATATATATATATATATATATATATATTTATTAATGACTGACTGACGAAAGAATTAAAACTTAAAAAAACAAGGAAGTGACTTAAATGTGTTTTCTTTCGAAATACACAATTTTTAGTATAATGCTTGTAAAACGATATTAGGCGCATGTTTTTAGAAGCATGCTTCACCTGTAAACTACATAAGAAGACTTGGTTTTACATCGTTACTGAGAAACTAACAATTTTAAACTACAAAGTGTAATTGATGGGTGATTTAGAGATAAATTCTTTGATATAACCTGTTGGTAAAAGATGGTCTCACATAGGTTATTACGTAAAAAAATAATTAGAGTAGATTTAAAAACAAAAAGGAACAATTAATAGGCTTCCGGTCTATTAGGACAGTTTCTTATATGCAGCAGTGAGTGGAAGTGTGGAATCCATACTACATTTCTTAAAAAATAAATTTAGTGCAACAAAAAACAGTGGTTTAAGTACAAATACATAAACCCAATAAATCCACTATTAAAATATTCAAAATCAATTCTCTAAGTGAAAGTGAAAACTGCATCCCAATCTGTTGCGTTAGGTGTTGACGTAAACGGCATACGTGAAAATAAATTTCATTATACTAGAGCAGGGGTTCCCAAACTTATTTTGTCCACTGCCCTCTTTGAGAATAAATTATTTTTTAGCGCTCCCATTTTTTCACCTACTTAAAAACCACTATAACTTCAAATTAACTTAATTAATTATTGTGAGCTATATTCGCGGAGATTAAACATTCATTCTAAACGAGACTTTTACTATAACCCGCAAGAGTTAACTTGAGACCGGAACGCAGTAGGTTCTCTTACGGGCTACACCTGCCAATGAGAATGATTATTGAAACGCAACTTTATAGTGTCTGTCTGAATGACAGAGTATCTTTTATAAAAATAAAACAAACATAATCGATTCTAAAACTAAAACTAATGTGAAGGATGAATCTGATGCTGTTTAATAAGTTTGTTGATATTAGCTTGCAATTTACTCAAGGACAGTCGGACAAGGACAGTTCGGTAACATGCAGACGATTTCTCTTTTTAGTAAACAGCGTTGCCACAGCACAATCCACATTCACACAAATATGACGATGGGAATTCTATCAAGAATCGTTGAACGATTGACCACAATCCAGGGTAAAATTGCGGGATCGGTTTTTGTAACCATAATTCTTGGTACCCATTTTTGAACTTGATTTTTATTTCCTCGTTTGTTGTCAATTCTGTAAGTTCTTCTTCCAGCTGAGGTGACATTGGTGTGTTGACATTTGAAACGGATCCAACACCCAGTCTGGTATTTACAAGTTTAAAATGTCCTGGTATCGTTCGGTGAAGTCAATGTGGAGGTTTTCCAAATATTGCCAGTAGGCAAACAAGTCGTCGTTACTGCAGGATACTGATAAATTTGTAAAATTGTGAAACTCACGTCTGCCCATATCCTTTTTGTGTAGAAGCAGCAACGACATTTGTTGTTTTAATTAAATTTAGTTCATCGCCTTGCAGTTGGAGATTCATGTCGTTGAACAATTTATACAGGTCTGTCAAGTAAGCTAGGTATATCATTCTTTGATGTAATGAGCTTGTTGCGCAATTCTGTATCTTTACTTTCCAAGAACTCTATCACAGAGTCAAACAGGTTGTAAACTAGAGTCAGACAATTGCCTCTTGATAGCCAACGAACTTCAGTATGAAACAACAAACGGTTAAAATCTTCATCATTAGTCACACAAAGCTGATGAAATAATCTATAATTCAAAGAGCTGTTACGGATTTTATAGACTGCTTTGATGACATATTGCAGCGATTGAAATGGTCGTTCACTAAGTTTCTAGCAACCAAATGGTGTCTATGAATAACGCAATGTACAGCAAGGACATCTGGTATTAATTAATATTTTTAAAGTATGCTATGAAGCCTTCATGACACCCTGTCATAGCCGGAGCGCCATTCGTAGCAACTGATATAATATTTTTCAAGGGAATCTCCTTCTCATCACAAAACTTTTCCAATGTATTGAATATAGTTTTGCCTTTTGTGTTGGTTTCTAAATTTCTAACAAACAATAGTTCTTCAGATATTTTATCATCTTTAATA